GTTTGTGTTACGACGTTATCCTAGCTGTGGTTAGTATTTTAGCCATACGCGTCGAGTGGCCCACAGACGCACGCCCCAAGGCAAATAAGTTGGCGATATAACGCACTAATACCTAGACAGCAAAACGTCCGAAAATAAGTAGAGTAAAAACGACCCAATGACACGAACTGCTCACAAACAAAAATAAGTAAACATTGTATGAATGGTTCCGCTATTAGGAAGCCAATTTGCATCTTTGACGTTTATAATTCGGTCCCCAGGCATCGCGTAACTCGATCTTGGTTGTCACCGAATGAGGCTTGTGCACTGCTTATTTGTTTCACGCAATGCATTGTTGGTCAAACAACGGCATGATATATTTTTGTTCATTTTCACTTCGCGTTTGCCCATTTGTGATGATAATGCCGCTGTCGAGTAATCGAAACTACGTTACACCCATTGCCTGAACCCGTTACTTAGGCCAACCGACTTGTTTTCACTCCATCTGTCGACACTCCAATAACAATGGCACACATACTCGTTGGAACGACAATCAAACATAGCCAACAATCAAATTGCAGCGAAGGGGACCGAATTCCCCAAGACCCAATCATGATACTATGTCGACGGTGGTGAATGGGGCGTAGGCCGCTACACAAACGCAAAGACCACAGAATACTCGGTTAGTTTATTTTTTTATCTAATTTCATTAATAGTCACGTGTCACTATCTTAACACATACGTATATAGTTGCATAATCTCAGTCTCGCCGCATGTGGTCAACATTTCCACCTGCCATAAACGTTTTTTATCGTCGACACTAGAGTATACCATATCAGTTACTAATTCAAGTTGCCGCACAAAGCCCCCACCCCCCGCCGCTTCGGAAAACTAGGCTTGGATATACTAGGAGTATGTGATATGTGCGTACGCATTAGTAAATCATTCTGTGTGACTATCATATTGATTCGTCTTTAATAACAGTTAAATTAAGCGCAGTACGTGTATGATTACCATGACATGGTAGAGTGGTTATACATAGGTCATGAAATATATACGTCACTCATGTCACGCTCATCTCCACGGCACAGCAGCGTTAATCACTCGTCCCCAGAGCGCCAGGTGTATTTATATAAATACATGTCGATGATATACATATATTTTGGTTTTTTTTTGAATAATTAAATGCCAGACGGTACTAATCTATGTGCATGCTGTCAATGCTTTTGGCTTCTCCGG